TGGAACCGTTTTGTACACCATTTTGTACAAGAAGCATTATCCCTTTTATATTAAGCTGACTTAATTTATGTGAGGGCTACTCATTTTCTCCATAGTATACAAATTTCACTTTGGGACCTCCAACCCTTGAACCCTCGAACTAGCCCAATTTCCGGACGAGTTCACCATATGTCGATTCGAAGTCGAGAGGAAAAAATGCACACTATAATAGGCTCCACATTTTCAACACTTTGAGAATATTCAAAGTATTGTTGATACAATAGTTTTCTTCTCAATTTATTTTGCTAAAAAAATCAAAATGTTAGTAATTTTTTATAAAAATTGATTAAATGTGTGATTAAAAAGTTGATAAAAATTGTAGGTCATATGAAATGTGTGGTTAAAATTATTGTCTGAGTTTGACTTAAATTTTTTTTATCTAAACCAAACATGTGCTTATTATGTCTCAAATCATTACTCAATTAAAGCTCATTCAGAAAAAATACAGCATGTTTTAAATTTGTAATAAGAAACAATCATGCTACATATATATATCTTTTTTATTATCATTTTTTATATTGTGTCATGTGGCGACGCATGATTGAATAGTTTTGAAAAAAAAAATCTTTCTTTCCCGATATTTTTTTTAATTTCAATAAAGTGTACACAAAGTTGTAAAGCAAAATATGTACATTTAGCTTTAGTCAATATGAAAATATAAAAGTAGAATATATTAGTACTAGAGTACGATATTTATATGTGTTTGAGGTCTCAAAAAAATTTATGAAGTCCCTATTTGGTTTAATTAAAAAATTTATAAAAATATAAGTCAAGTCAATAATTAATTCTAACCACACATTTTATAGAATCCACAACTTCTATCAACTTTTCAACCATAAATTTCACCGACTTTTATAAAAATTTATTAAAAATCTGATTTTTAGTTAAACCAAACAGACCTTAAGAAATATAGCCCATGTTTGTCATTTGATAATCATTCTTTAAAAACTCATTCTTCCTCAAACTTATTGTTAACCATGCATTCTCTCAATAATTTGCCCATGTTTAGGCTTCATCAAAAATGAATTCTGGAAAAAAAACATATTTTGGAATATTGATTTTTTTGGAGAACGCATGATTAAGAAAGGGTTATTGGCGCAAAACGTCCCTACCTATGGCGGGTTGTGTGGAAAACGTCCATACGTTTAATTTTTTGGTGCAGAACGTCCCTACCTTTACATTTTCTTGCGCAAAACATCATTTTCACCCATTTTTAACATAAAATGACCATTATACCCTCATATATAAATAAGAAAAGAAAAGAAAAATAAAAAATAAATTACGATCTGCTTATCAACTTTTTAAAAAATACAAATTAGTCCGAAACTTATTAAAAATAACAAAAACACTCTCTCCCTCGTCTCCTCCACCTCCCGCCACCACCTCCACCCTCAAAGCCGATAGCAGGCCACTTTCAACACAACCTCCAGCTACCAAAACACCACCCAAAACCGATACCATATCCAGTTAAAATTATCGAACCCTAATTTTTCGAAAAAACCTCTCATGGCAGCAATAAATCGAACTTGGTTTTGATCAAATTGGTGAAGACCCAAAACTGGAATAGGCTGTCCAGGTGATGAAGAGTCTAGTCCAGCTGGTCCCCCTCCATGAGTGCACCGGGCAGAGCTTGAAATCGAGTTCACAACTGCCGGATTCGCGAGCTGAGCGACTGGATCGTTTGCAACCTGAGATTCAGCTTGTTGGAGGACTGAAATGGATGAAATATTACCATGTGTAGGCTCGTCTGGATGAGGGGAAGTAGCCAGCAGGGGTTCTCGATCATGAATGCTACCACCGGCGCCAAATTTCGCTTTGAGCAATTAGTTTGCTGTGGTGTTTTTTGTGGTGGATTGGTGGCACACGAAGGTGCATCTAGTGAAGAGTAGGTGGTCAGGGGTGGATTCCGGCATTGGAGTTGGCCGGATTCCAGATTTCCGGCGTTTTTCAACTTCCCAGGCAGATTTATATTTTTTCCGATTTCTTGAGATTTTGTGGCTGAAATTTCTTGATGATTGTTGGTAAATGATGCTAATGTTAAAGGCTTTCCAATGATACCAAGATCAGGTGGTTTGGTAGGTCGAAATTTTTCGGAATTTTGGTCCATTTTTTGCAAATCTAGAGAGAGGGGAGAGCATATAGCCGTTCTTTCATGAAAGAGAGGGTTTGTTTTTGTTATTTTTAATAAGTTTTGATCTAATTTGTATTTTTTAAAAAGTTGATAAGCAGATTGTAATTTATTTTTTATTTTTCTTTTCTTTTCTTATTTAGTAAAGCAAAATATGTACATTTAGCATCATTCAATATGAAAATATAAAAGTAGAATATATTAGTACTAACATACGATATTTATATGTGTTTGAGGTCTCAAATAAATTTATTAAGTCCCAATTTGGTTTAATTAAAAAATTTATAAAAATATAAGTCAAATCAATAATTAATTCTAATCACACATTTTATAGGATTCACAACTCTTATCAACTTTTCAACCATACATTTCACCGACTTTTATAAAAATTTATTAAAAATCTGATTTTTAGTTAAACCAATCGGACCTTAAGAAATATAGCCCCGGTTTGTCGTTTGATAAACATTCTTTAAAAACTCATTTTTCCTCAAACTTATTGTTAACTATGCATTCTCTCAATAATTTGCCCATGTTTAGGCTTCATCAAAAATGAAATCTGGAAAAAAATATATTTTGGAATATTGATTTTTTTGGAGAACGCATGATTAAGAAATAAAGAAAACTTTGAGTTTACGTGTAATATTTTGTTATTAAAGAATTTGTGGTTGAGAATAAGGAAAAAAATGCATTTTTTTTTAAAATGGAGCCCAAACAGGAGCAAAATAATTTTACACGTAAACCCAAAAATTTTTCTAACTTTTTAATTATACATTTTCCAAAAAATTACTATTACAAAACTGTTTTTTCAAAGAAAAAGAAAAAAGGGGGAGCGCTCAAACAATGACATAACATCCTTTGATTTCTTTGTGTCTCCACAATAAATCTACGATCTTATGGATCTCTGTAATGTGAACATCTTCTAAATCAAATGGAAAAGTCATTATGTGAACACATCTTTAAGCATTCAAAATGTGCTTCAAGGTATCATGCTGTGGAAAAAAACAAAAATTCGTTACTGTAAGTCTTATTGTAGTTGTTTATTGACCCGTACATATTTCTTAAGGTCCCAACTGGCTAGGGACGTTGACATAATTCTATAATTTGTACTGGAAAAAGTCCACATTCTATATCTTCTTAATTTGCAGTTTTTATTGGTCAAATTGTACCGCGTTTCGTTGTTGCGAATTTGACAAGATTACACGATTTAGAGCTACATTAAGGATTCGTTTGATATGATTTTTGTTTCGACTTTTGCTTCATTTAGAAGAAATTTTAGAGGAATCTATTCTAATTTTTGTTTAAAATTAATTTTAAAAAACATTTCCTATTCTAAAAGTGCTTTTAGAGAAAATCATATTGTGCCAACTTCCACTAAAAGAACAATCAAAAATACTTTCATAAAATTCGTCAAACAGGTTCATAGGCAAACAGACCATAATTAATTAGAGAGTACTGAATAAATATTTTATGTAAAAGCTATGTTTAAAAAATCTAATTTTAATTTTTTTTTTAAATTACACAAATATTTAGTTTAAGAATATATATGTTTAATTCAATTGAAGTACGAATATTTTAAATTACCCACCAACCCCAATTGTAGTTTCATTCCTCGGTAGCGTCTAGCCCTGTATGAGTTGAGAGTCAGTCGAACTAACCAAGTTTAAAAATAAGTTAACTATAGAAGTGACAAAAACAATATCGAAACATCTTATGATAAATTTGGTAGTATGATTTAGATAATACAAAACAATATTGTAGAAAAAAAATTAAGAATTGTCTATTATATTATGTGGCTGCAGTGTTCGTATAGCTAAGTTTGACTAAGTTATTAAAGTTTTGTTTTTTTTTTTTTAACCCTCAGTTAGGGCGGAGGAAAACCGTAGTAACAGATCATCAACCAATGAAAATTATCAAATAAGCTAAACGCCTATCAATATAAACAAACAACGCAAAATAGCTGACGAAGGTACAACACCCCGATTCTGTCTAAACGAATCAACCCCCGACAAAGAAATGGCAATTCCATACAAGAGAAGAACCGTTTTGTATTTCCCAATGCACCTACCTTCGCCAACTCGTCCACAACCTGGTTAGCTTCTCTATACTGATGAATAAGCCAAGCTTCAGAACTATAATATCTAGGAAATTCCAGTGCCCTTCACATTGTGATGAAAAGGGAATTGCAATTCTTAATGGCCCACCAGGCCTAACATTAAACTCTAGTTTTATTGGCAATGCAATTTCCTTGAAGAGCTAGCCTATATTGACCTTGAAATTGCCACCCTTACTCCCCCCACTTACCCTAAGCCGCCCCCATAGTATTTATAAGGAAAATTTGCACTTTTCGTTTCCAACCTTTTCAATCGTTCCCAACCGAGTCTCACCGAGCCTTGGTCGGTAAGAATACAAATATAGAATTTAAATCTACGATCAATTTTAAAGTTCTTCAAATACACGATATGTGGGTGATATGCACACATAAAGTTGGGGTTTCAAATTTGAAATGAAGCTTTTTGTATGTGGATCAGTTGGTCCCTTTCAATCTCGAACACGTTGGGAGAAATGAAACAACGTGTGGATGTAAGTGGGTGAGATATCGGGAGTTTCTCACGGATTCTATCAATGAGGATGTGATTTGCAATTAAGTGAAAGGTGTGGATATGCCTGATACTAAAAAAGAGTTGAGGATATATTAGTAACTAATTGAAAAAGGTTGAGGACAAAAAGAAGAATTTCCCATATTTATCTCTATATATGCACAAGTTCTTTACCAAAATATGACTATCAAAACCTCACACAAAAAGTGTAACTAAAATTTTCCAAGCCATTAGACATGGAGTTCTATGTCTCTCTTCTATCCCTCTTCGTCCTAATCGTGTCCTTCTCACTTCACTTCCTCTTCTACAAGAATAAACACAGTGCCAGCAGCCTCTCCGGTCCTCTACCGCCTGGCAAAACCGGGTGGCCCTTGGTGGGGGAAAGTCTTGAATTCCTCTCAACCGGATGGAAAGGTCACCCTGAAAAATTCATTTTCGATCGCATAGCCAAATACTCATCCTCTGTCTTTAGGACACATTTACTAGGTGAAAAGGCCGCGGTTTTCTGTGGTGCAAATGGGAACAAGTTCTTGTTTTCAAATGAAAACAAGCTTGTCCAATCATGGTGGCCTAATTCTGTCAACAAAGTCTTCCCGTCTTCTACACAAACTTCATCCAAAGAAGAGGCTATTAAGATGAGAAAAATGCTCCCAAATTTCCTAAAACCAGAGGCCTTACAGCGATACATTGGTATAATGGATCATATAGCCCAAAGACATTTTTCTGATGGATGGGAAAACAAGAATGAAGTAAAAGTTTTCCCTCTTGCAAATAGATACACTTTTTGGCTTGCTTGTCGTCTGTTTGTAAGCGTCGAAGATCCTAACCACGTAGCAAAATTTGCTGATCCTTTTAATGCATTGGCTTCTGGCCTTATTTCAATCCCCATAGACTTGCCTGGAACTCCATTCAATCGTGCGATCAAGGCCTCAAATTTCATTAGAAAAGAACTTGTGGCCATAATCAAACAACGGAAAATCGATCTGGCAGAAGGGAAGGCATCATCAACACAAGATATATTGTCACACATGCTTTTGACTAGTGATGAAAATGGAAAATTCATGCATGAATTGGATATAGCAGATAAGATTTTGGGATTGCTTATTGGAGGACATGATACAGCAAGTTCCGCATGCACTTTTATAGTCAAGTTTCTCGCTGAGCTGCCTGAAGTTTATGAAGGAGTCTACAACGGTAAGCTTCTTAACACACACACACACTGTTTTATGAAATTTGCTTAAGATAATTTTTCGAAATCAATCACCCGAGTGGAGAGACGGAGCCACGATTGTAGAGTTGTGGGGGTAAATTTAGATCGTGGGGCAGAAACTGGGTCTGGTGCAGTACTTGTTGGGGGCAACTGTTGCTTGGATAGGAAGTTTTGAAATTGAGTGTGGGACAGCAGACCCCATTGTCCCTACATTAAATCCGCCGGAGTGCTTGCAAAATAATCGAAAGTGTTAGAAAAATTAATCTACTCAATATTTACAACATTAATGGAAAAATTATAGTAGTAATAAAATATGTAACTCAGAATCAAAACATATTATTTTTTCATAAAATAATTTTATGCATAAACACAATTTTTTTTTCTTATTTTCTAACAAAACATCTTTCCAAAAATCATTATTCTAAAACAAATTTTTCTCTCATAAATGGGGTCAAACGGAGGTGCGCCTGTCTGAACATAGGAATTTGCTAAAGACAGTTTTTCACAGCAGCCGAAGAGTCAAAAAGGGGCTGCCAAGGAAATTTTCTACCAAACACATTTTGACTGCTACCACGTCTCAACTATCTACTTTTTTTATTATTCACATATATTTATTATTAAGATATTTTGCTACACAATTTAATAATGTCAAGTGAAAAAACCTGATAACTACCCCTTGCCTATTTGTTATAAATGCAGTTGCTTTTCTGGAAAGGCAAAATCTTATTTTATTTATTTATTTATTTTTATTGATTTGGTGAAAAAATAATTAGTGAATGAGTATCTGATTACTGTTTCTTGGTGTACAGAACAAATGGAAATTGCAAATTCAAAAGCACCAGGTGAATTATTGAACTGGGATGACATTCAGAGAATGAAATATTCATGGAATGTGGCATGTGAAGTGTTAAGACTTGCACCACCCCTCCAGGGTGCTTTCAGAGAAGCCCTTACTGATTTCATGTACAATGGTTTCTCAATTCCCAAGGGATGGAAGGTAGTCACTCCGTCCATTTCTGTTAGTTAGTGTTTTTAATTCGGACGCAACGCAATCACCACATCACTCACGAACTCGTGTTTGCTATATTGTCCAGTGCAATTGACTTACAAAACCCTACTTCTTTTATTCTTGCAGATATATTGGAGCGCAAACTCGACGCATAGAAACCCAGAATTTTTCGCCGATCCCCTGAAGTTTGATCCTTCAAGATTTGAGGGAAGTGGACCTGCTCCTTACACATTTGTTCCTTTTGGAGGGGGCCCTAGAATGTGCCCTGGAAAAGAGTATGCTCGTTTGGAAATTCTTGTTTTCATGCATCATCTAGTTAAAAGATTCAGGTTTGAGAAAATAATCCCAGACGAGAAAATAGTTGTGAACCCAATGCCAATCCCAGCAAAGGGACTGCCTGTTAGACTTTATCCCCACAAAGCATAAGATTTTTTTATTCCTTTTGAAAAGTTGAGCTGCTGGCTACATACAGAGATGCATCACATTAATGTTTGCACTGTATTTTTATATTTTGTCTTTAGTTTTTCTTATTTTTTCTTTTGCTTTGAAAGAAAATGTACTTCTTTTAATCAAATGAGAGAGCCGTGAAATTTACAATAAGCTAAGATAAGAAATAATTCCTGAATTTGTGATTTTACAGTGCCTTTGTACAATGACGCCTATTATCTGGCATGGATCAATTCTTTGGTCGGGTTTAAAACATTCATAATGCTTTTCGCCATGCGTGGTATACATATGGCAGTTTGTTATTTGATGCATTAATGTAGTAGTATTTTATTCCTTAAGCATCAAATAACAAACGGTTACATGTATGTCACATTGGACGACTACTGGTAGTCTTCATTATGAATAGAATTACTCTTAAAACATTGGGAAAAACAATAAATGTGAGGATCACTTGTTCAATGAATGTAGTGGAAAATATGGTTTATTTGACATTGTAAGAAGAAAAAAAATGTCAATGTTGTGCTCTCAACAATATGTATTTTACTAATTGTCAACATAAGCAACATATATATTTCAGATTAAATGCACTTTCAAAGGCTTTGGGTCCCAACAAATTTATGAAAAAAAAAATCCTTACTTTCACCTTATCATGAAAGTCAATCCGTGTACGGACTCTACGTAGCAGTAATAATTAAAGTCCACAAATTAACACTGACATCACAAACACCTCCTCGAGTTCATTACAAATACTCGACATTTAAAAAATTACATTAGTCTCCCATGTCATAAACAATTATTCATCAAATAATTGGAATGCCTATTTTACCCAATCACCTAACTAAATATTAAACTGATTTTAATACCAAAGGATGTTGCATTGAAATGCCTTTCTTCTCTCTATTTTTGACTAATACCCTGTCTCGTTTTCTCTCTCTTTTACTTTCTTATGAAGGTTTTACAGTGGTATATTCTTTCAGTGTAAATATGTATATTTACAACCTTTTGTGTTTTAGAAATCTTTTATCTGCCGCTATTTTTTTATTTTTTTCCAATTTTTGCATTTTCAGTTTGTTAGAAGTTGCATGGTTTTTTTCAATGTTAATATGTCTCGCAATTTTGTCACTAATATCAAAAAATATCATCAGTAATTTTTAAAAATTTAGCACTATATGGCCTTTTTTGTTCATAATTGTTGGAAAACTTCGGGTTTGTTCTCTTTACCATTTTCAAGCCGTTTTCTGTTTTCGATTTTCCAATACAGTGAAAAGATGTTCTCTTTCCTATTTTTTGAAAATACGTTTTTTAAAACAAGTTAAAAATTTACAAAGAAAACCCAAAATGACAAATTTGTCGTTTTGGGTGTTTCCAGTTATAACCAAGTTAAAATTTTCAAAACGCGTTTTGTGTGTTTTCAAAACAATTTTTCAAAATGACAAAAAGAACGTGTTTTCAGCAATCTCAAAATGGACACTCAAAACACAAAACTCAAAATGAATTCAAAACTCAAAATACAAAACTGAAACACAAAGAGAATAGCCCATTCATGTTTCAAGTAGAAGTTTTATTTCCATGAATAAATATTACAGCAATCGGTTTAGGTTATCAAGTTTTACGTTTTGAGAAATACTTTCTTGAGATTGCTCTCAAATCACAAGAAGTTCAAATCAACATATTTGACATCTTTTACGTGGATTATAATAGTAGCAAACTCAACAAGTCGACATGTTTTAATCTCTAATTTTCATTTTTAAACAGTTGAACACAAGATTTAAATGATTACAATGTAGCGCTCTTCTACAAATGAAACTTTTACATCAAATGATTAACATGATATTAGAACAAGATAAAATATCTGAGTTTAAATCTCGTAGTCATTCATTTATAAAAAATAAATAAACCAGCAAAGATTAATCTGTTGATTATTGGCAGGTAGCATGAACCTTTAGAGCACCGGCTTTATTGGTAATTTATGGAGGTGTCCATTTTCATATGAAAGTTACCTAATTTCTGTGCTTCTATCAATTCCTTATGCTACTTTTTATTATGATTCTTAATTTGTAACTAATAGAGTCTGCATAATATAATTCAATTAATGAGATTTTATTATCTTTTTTTTTCTATTGGTTAAATGATCATTGAGAATTTGACAAAATAGCCCTATGATAAAGATTCTAGTCATGTCATTGATATTCATTTTTTTAGAGATGATAAAGATTGGATAAAATTCTAAGCAGCGATTGCGTGAATGGGTTTTGAATTAGATATGGCAAAAAAATTCGTTGAACCTTGAACCAGATATTCGTGGAGTCCCATCTCAAATGGGACGAGAATTACCCGCCTAACTAGGTAAATGGGACGAGGATGGGGGAGGGGTCATAGTCCCCGTCGACACTTTTACCTGGTTAGGCTGGTAATTTCAAATTTAAATTTTTTTTATCAAACAAAAATAAAAATATTTATAATCATTGTCAAAAATATTGTTCAACTTAAAAAATGTGTGCTTAGACTTGGCATTTTTCTTATGCGTTGCTTGACAAAGTTTTTGATAAAATTGTTTTAACGAATTTTGATAAAAAGATTATTTAATATGTGATTGAAAAGTTGATAAAAATTGTGTCATACGAAATGTGTGACTAAAAAATTGATTCGACTTGAACCGTAACAGTAAAAAATAAAATAAAGGATATTTCACAATATATAGGAACACGTATTATGATGTTGATGTTATTTGGCTTTTCAAACAGCACACCAATCAAGAGAGTGCAAATAAGAAAAACCAAATTCTTAAGCAAAAACCTCGAAGAAATTTGGAAAATGAAAATTTATCAAGAACGCAAGAAGTAACTTTTCGTTTAAGTTCTCTCAAAACACACGCCACGCTAAAAACACATCTTCACAACCATGAAGATTAACGTGTGATTTTTGTCAACCAAAAAAAAATGAATTGAAAGAGAAGATTTTTCAAAAGTTACGAAAAGAAAAGAAAGTCGTGTAGAATTAATCGTTTGAGAGCAGGGGCGGAGGTGGGGGGGTCCAGGGGGGGTCCTAGACCCCCCTCAATTTTTGACAAATTTTTTTTAAAATTTTTTTTGTGTATAAATAGTTTAATTAGAACAAGGATATATTTTATTTGATAAGACATATTTTAGTTTAGTCTAAAATTGCTTCAATAGCTTTTTGTACTCCATTAGTTATTATACATTATGTTGTATGAAGTTGAGTAATATGATTGCTTCACTTGAAAATGTTTCATATTTTAATTGCAGTATTTATGTTCTTGCACTAATCTTCCTGTATTCGTCCATGATAATAATTTGTATCGTAGTATACAAGTACCATTAATGTAAAATTTTGACCATGAAAATTAAATTGGGTCTTCTACATATTTTAATTTGGGGTTTTATTGAGTTTATATGTCGTCTTATTGTTTGAGTGCAAGCTTGATGAGTTCAATGCTACTGAGGAAGATCCGATCTACGTAAGCTTGAGCTCAAATTCAAGTATGTAACTTCTGATAATTTATATGTTTCTTGATTTTTTTTGGTTAATAATGTACATTAATTTATGTTATTTGGTTTCTTTTCTCCATCACAAAGTACTAACTTCCCTCATTTTAATAGATAATGTTTCAAAAAAAAAAAAATTCGGCAGAACCCTTGTGAACCTCCACCCCTTCAACTCTCGGACCCCCCTACTTTGATGGGCTGGCTCCGCCCCTGTTTGAGAGACCTCAATNAAATATATAAAGTGTACGTGCATGAACTTAAAGAATTAATTGATTGAATTATAGTAGGATATATATAAATTAATGTTAATTATTATCATACACGTAAATAATTAATTGAATTGTATAAAAATTTCATTTCACATAAACAATTTTTTTTAACTATTTTTTATATTCACTAATTTTCAAATATATCATTTTTACAGTGTTCATAAAGAATTTCAAAATAACGTGCAACATACGTTTAGCAGTGATTAGCAAAAACAAAAGTCACCATCTTACCGAGTTACGATAAAACAAAGTGATAAGCAATTTGGGAACAATTTAAGAACTTTCTATTCGGTAACTGTCCGATAAATTCATTTCGCATAATAAGGATAGTATAGAGATGCAATGACTAATGCCACGTTACTTTTCGTACACAAATATCAATAACGAAAAATAAATTATCATATTTTAAAGAACGTAAGATATAATGAAATATATACTTCAAACTTCGAAGTCATTAGAATTCAACTATCGATAACTTAGTCTCCGTGAGAAGAATTTATGAACAGTTTAATTTATAAATAAATAGAAATTAGTGACGAATAGTAGATAGTACTCGTGGGTGGTGTAATTGAAAACAAAGTTTGACTCAACTAATTGGTGTAATTGAAAACAAAGTTTGACTCAACTAATTATCTAATTCCATTGACAACTATAGTTCATGTTATAGAAAAAGATGAATCATGTATGCTAAACAGCCAAAAGGGCATTTATAAATACACATCAAATCTCCAGTGGTACTACTAGTTCATCAAATCTTCAATCCATAAATTAGGAATAGAAACAGAAAACAAGCAGTTATTATCATAAATTTCATCCCTTTTTTCTATCTGATGAAAGAAATTAAAGCTTGATACATACACAGCTGCAATAAAATCAGATTTGTTTCCTTTCCAATTCTTAAACTCTTTTCTTCGTTTCCTCTCTTTGCATCAATCTTTAGTCATTGGTTGACTCATGCAGCACCTGAAACGAGCTTTTCTGACTGTTGTCATGATCTCGGTTTCAGCAGCCTCAAGCATTTTGACCACCTCGCTGAAGGATGGCCGAACATTGGGATTAGCATCCCAGCAACGGGTCATGATCTCACTTAGAACAGGCAGGCAGTCATTGGGGATGTTCGGGCGGACACCTTTGTTGACGACAGCAAATGCTGCTTGAACAGCAGTCATGTTCTGAAAGGGAAGCATCCCTGTTATGAGCTCTGACAGGACAATCCCAAAGCTATACACATCAACTTTCTGTGTATAATGCCTATGCTGGATCATTTCCCTGTAAATTCAGAATAAAATGCACTCAAATAACCATAATAAATATTGCATACTTACAAAGAAGTTAGAAAACTACTTGCAGGAAAAAAACCAAAAGGCATTGACAAGGTGACATTGAATATCACGTTCCAATCTTATAATGGGGGACACACTGCAGACTCCAACTAAGCAACCCACTGAAATTTCTTAAAGAAAATGATTCTAAGCACCATTGTGAACTCCAATGGTGACTCTATAGATGCAACAGCAATATCAAATACGTGTTGCTTATATTAACCATTCAACACTTAAGGTTCAGATTCAGAGCAGAATTCAAAAAGATATTGCGCAAGTAGTCTCCTCTCAAGAATTGTAGAACCATAACCATAATCAGCAAAAAAGATGAAATATGACAATTAAAAACCGCACATTTTACTCCAAAAACACTACTCAGGTAAAAATCAACAGTCAAAATATCAATATGAACATTACAGTTATAACAACCGTAAGCCAATCCGATGACAGCAAGACCTATTTGAACTACTTGTGCATCCATCACTGGCACATTTACCCTCATCAATCCACCAAGAACTATATAGACCCAGATTTGAAATCTGCAACTTACAAGCATATCTGCCATTAAATTCAGCACACTAACATGTAACTGCACCAAATGCACTAGAGGCATGTGCTTCACTAGCTAGAGATTGTTCAAGCACAACTTTGCAATTAAGGAGAAATAATGTGAAAGAATATAAGACAAATATCAAGAAGACTAGATAATACCGAAATCTCACTATAGAGTTATTTAACCAGTAGAGATGATCACTAACAGAGAGTACACAAATTACCACCCATGTCTGAACAGATTGTGCTGTTTTAAAAGTAACAAAATGCATTCAATGTGAAGTAATTCATATCAAAACAAACGCAAATAAATGTGAGTACACGATAGAGCTGAGCATTTACACTACTAATGGATTTTTTTTTAAAAAGATTAAGAGTCTAAAATGGTCTCCCCTGAGAAGGTTGACACTTAATACCCCATTTGATGATTATTGACAGCCCCATTTGATGATTATTGACAGTTATTCTGCTATTTCCACCGTGTCTTTCTTAATGCAAACTAAGCCTATGTTTGGGAAACAGTACAAGTTACTTACAATTCCCATCAAACTTTAATTTTAACCACACGTTCACAACTATTATCCACTTATCATCCACACATTTTGTGAGATTAAAATGAGACCCAGACACAAGCAAACTCTGCCTAGGACAGGGGTACCTACTTATTTGACGATGAAATACTATCAGCAAAGTAAAGACATCACGGTCAAATGGATGAAACTCCAGCAACTCCAAGTTGAAGTGTTTGCTGCCTCCATGGACTACTTTTAAACTTAAAAAAAAATATGATCAAGATTTCCACAATCTTTTACTCCAATGATCTCAAAGCCCCAAAGAGTATGAGAGAACATTAACTGTTGCATACGAGGTTACTTTGATGAAATTTATTTAAGTAGAACAGCCACAGATGTAAATTGAAAATCTTCTCATGTGTAACGGAGAAGCAATCATAAACTGCAACTACACAATTCTATTACTGGCAAGGGTTTCAGGGGATAGAATTAAAACATAACAAGGAAGGTCCACGTGGAAAGCGTGATTAACGAGGCTTCAGTACATAGAATGCACATTATGAATGACGAATCTCTATCAGCAAAGAACGTTCAGGTTGAAAAAGACACAGATGTCAATGAGTTATCAGAAGTCCCCTTTCCCTACATATCTCCTTAGACCAAAGAAAACACAATGAAACCTAGTGTTCCCATTTGAGCATTCATTAGGATGGCAAGTAAGCAAATCCTTAGCGTCTGAAGAAAAGATATTGATACTTCAATTGGGGATAGTAAATCTGAACCCCACCAAGAAACATAACTATCAAATAAGCAACAAAATAGAGAAGGATTCCCCCAATTAAAAGATGAGGTTCCAAAATAATTGGTGGAGCAGAATACTCCAATCTCACCACTTAACCATTACTTGTGACTCTTTCAAAATGAAAAGGTCAGCAATACCCACATGTTGTTAACGCCATTTGATCAATCATCCCAAAGAGCATTTAGCCTGTGTTTGGTTTTAAGTTTCCTTCAGATTTTTTTCAAAATCTGATACTTTATATACTAAAATAATCTGCAGAACCCTTTAATGCGCCTGGCAAGATGCCCTCCGCGATTCCTTCATTTCCTGTTTAGCCCTACCCTTAGCGGTTCATATTTACCATTTTAGTGAAGATTTGTTTCCACTTCATCGCTAATCAAGGGCAAAACGGTCTTTTGACCAAATAATAGTTGAAGAAATTGGAGGCCTGATGTCCTTGCTGTCATAATGTCTATTCAACTGAGAAAAACTCCCTACTTTTTGAAGACAAAAAATTATTTTTCGAGCCAAAAGCGAGATTAGACAGGGGCTTACAGATTGGCAGGATTACTTATAAACCAGAGGATTGGCTGATGGTAACCATGTAAAGGATACTAGTCGAATTGATACGACATATTAATAAACCAAAACCGCGACTAACATAGGCCATAGCCATTGCTTCACATATTGAGCTGCTTAATACTGAGCTTACTTTGTTTCAATACATCTAAGTACCAATACCAAAGGTCGAAAAGGTAACAACAATGTGATCATCTGTTTTGGAAAGTAAATTAATAAATCTTTTGCCCATCTTTTCTGGAGGGGAATGCCGTATTGCGAAGTCACTGCATCATAAAATTTTATGGGTTGGCGAATAAAGCTGACGCCTGGCAGCCTGAGTGTAGACGCATAAGGAACAACTGCCATGAAATAGAATAGTGCATAATATTACAGAGATGTGCCCCAATTAATCAGCTAACAAAAAAAAGGAAACACAGATTCCCACTCCAATTTCTTTTCCCTTTTCTAGAGGTAACTAAGGAGGAGGAAGAAACCTTAACAAGATAGCAAAGTCCAAGAGAACAACTAAAAATCAAACAAGAGCATGTTTTTATTCAGCACACATCAATAAGAGACACATTTGGCAGAGCTAGAATATAAATATTCACAAGGACCATTATAATGTATCAATGCCTAAAAAATAAAAATAAAATAAAATAATTGAAACAACCTGAAAGTAATCCATGCTTAGACTTATATGAGTAAAGAAAATTTGAGGCAGAAGAAAGAAAGAAGAATGAAGAAACTTACGGGGCCATCCAGCGGTAAGTCCCAGTTTCCGGTGTCATCCCTTCAGTTTGCACCTCAATACGGGCAACCCCAAAATCCGCAATCTTGATCGACTTGTCAGCAGCGATCAAAAGATTGTCAGACTTCAAGTCACGGTGAATCAAATTTAGCCCATGCACATATTCCATTCCCCTAGCCACATCCAAGGCCTGCTTTACTGCCAATTTCAAAGGCACGGATCGGTTCCGCCGATTTGTCAAGAACTGACGCACTGAACCCCCCTTTGCATATTCAGTCACAATACACCAGACCATGGGTTTGCGGCACGCACCAATAAAGCGAACGATGTTTGGATGCTTCAAATTCGCCAACATCATAACCTCCTGCTGAAACTGCTGCTCCATTATGTGTGCTCTCTCTGCATCATTCTCTGGTCTCTCCAGAAGCTTAATTGCAACATCCTCGCCATTATAAATACCCTTGTAGAGCTTCCCAAAAGCCCCCTGAGCGAAGGCGGGACCCATGTTAATCCTCCTCAAGTCAATCGTCCACTCTTCATAATTTCCAAGCCCCTCTGTAGAATATCGAGGGTCCATCAAAGCTTGAGCTAGAGCATCATCGCTCAACCCATGAGAGACTCTCCCACGATTGACACTTGCAGCAACAGAATAGTTCTTGACATGTTTGAGGCCCTGATGGCCCAAGATGCGCGTGCGGGAACCATTTGATCCAACACTGCTGTTGTCCACTGACATGTCCACAGAACCTCCACCATTGCTTCGTAAGCTCCCATAACTATCAATTGACATGATTGACCCCTCATTGAGCTTTTGATAAAAATTTTGAGAGAGATTGTAATTGTCAGGAGCAGAGTTTAGGTCTATAATTCCCGTAAATTTTGGACCCTCCAACATTTTCCTTTCCCAACAAAACAGCTTGCAGTATAAATCCTTGAAACTTCTCTTAGATCTTCCGCATGAGGGACCAAAAACCTCAATCACGAGAACTCTACCAAAAAAAAAAAAGGTAAAATGCATCACAAAAGGCCAAATCAAAACAAAATCATTTAAATGTTCTACTAAACCAAATTTATTCACAAACATAAAAGAAGTCATCCAACTGGAGATTCAAAACAAATAAAGCGTAGTATTTGAAATTGTTATGATCCCCTATAGTTATAGGAGCCATTATCAATCTAATAAATTTTCCTTAAGTCGATGTTCTCCTTTTTTTCCTTTTCGAGTGTACTTTTTTCCATTTTCCGCCACGCTGTGTTCTTCTATCTTGGTGATGTCACCGTCATCCCCCAATATGCCAACTTTGCTTTCAAGAAATTGATATGTGCCTTATTTCCACACTGAGGTCCACCTCCTTTTCCCTCTTAAATCAAATTCCCAAATAATATTATAGTTTAAGAGGCCCTCATAATACATAGCGAAAACCATGAGATGCTTGTGGTGGATCTAGTTACAGGGTAAGGGGGATCAGGGTTGCATGAAGAAGTAAATACAACCGCGCCATATTCCCGTTCCCTCCCTCCTTCCCCACTCAACTTGTAACAAATGAAGAGGAATAAAAAAAGAAGAGGTAGAGGACATTTTAGACAAAAAATTAAATGAAAGACGACTTTTTTCTCCACCATAAAGCGAAGGTCTTTTCACGCTTCTTCTCTCATCGTTGAGTCATTTCAGATTACTCCTCTAAAATTAAGTTTAATAAATGAATTATCCATGAATCAATTAAAACTTCAAACAAAGTAAAACAATCAAAACCCAACTTTCTTCCTTCCGATATGTCTGGGTGACTTTAAATTGCAGCTAACAAAAGTCTATTTCAGCTTCGATTGACATCCCCAAATGGCAAGCCTTGATTCAAAAAAAAACATAAATTGAACATTTTTTGACGCGGCTAACTTTCTCCCAAGTAAAATCGTATTAAAAAACAGCTACAACCTTCACAAGAACCTCATAATTGTACAAGTTCAGTGCTCCGGTGATTAAAATTGGGGAAAATACGAAAACATACCTCGATCGAAAGCGCTTGACATATTGCTTTAATTTATGGCCTGAGAAAAATCCAATATAATTCCACGGCTGCTCAGTGTTTCAAGTTTCCCCCTTATGTCTTCACTTGAACTTTGCAACACGCAAAGTTAAAACAAAAACCACGACGCCCCCAAAAATAAAATGCAATATACATAGAGTTCTAGAGCGAGGGAGGGAGAGAGCAATGAAATCAATGAATGTGAAGTGTGACTACAGGAAAAATGGATGAGCTCTAGTCTTCGTCTTTTGTTTTTTCCTTAACCTTTATTTATTAATAAGAGAAATTGCACTATAGTCCCAAACCTTGTTCTTAACATTTTACCATGTTTGGTATAGATTAAAATCTATTAAAAATTTCAAATTAAAATCAACAATTCATTTTAATTATATATTTTATGGTATTCATAATTTTCTAACCATAATTTTTATCAATTTTTAAAAAAAATGAATTAAAAATCTGATTTTAATCTACACTAGACATAAGCTAAATTAGTCTTTTTTCGCTTCATTTTTATATAGAGCCCAGCATCCATCCTTTTATTGAAAAGACTTCACTAATCCATCATCTAGTTAATTAAACCAGATAACTTTTCGACTTAACATTCGATTCAACGAAATCAAGACATTTGAAAGTGACCTCTCTCTACTATACTTGGCTTTGGATGACAAACGAATTAATCCCCCCAACGCCCTCCATCGAAACTTAACACCACCTCTAACTTGAAATGATCACAACTACACCTCTCCGCTAAATTACACTATCATCAAAGAACGCTTGAAAAAGACAACGAGAGCTTCATTCTATTATGTCTAAAGAAAATTGCTTCAATGGATCCGATTGACTCATTTATAATAGATAGGAATCCACTAGCACAAGGAAAGATTACCTTCTGACTGTGGATTGACTAAGATTTGAAATTTGCTTTTATCTCCCCCATTTTTGTGACCAAAATAGTTTTTATTGTACGAAGGAAGGTGCTGCTCCTTCATGAGACCTTTTGGAGGCACGAAACTAAATCGAGACACAGTTAGCTCATGTTTGATCCACATTATTTTTCTTATTCTCATTCTTCTACTGATTTTCAACCACACATTATTCAATAAAATAATATTTTTCATCACATCAATAACTTTTTCTTCTTTTTCAACCACATATTCCCCATAACATCAACAGTAAAAATGCATTCTTACTCCAAAAATGTGCATCAAACAGAGGCTTAGATTCAAAATGTTGAATTGGTGGGGTTGTTGAGACAATTATACAATTAAATTACATGGAAAGGTTAGAATTTAATTTGCTTTACTTTTTAAAAGATTAGGGATCCACTTGGTACTCAGATAATAAACTGGGGACCATTGAGTTAATTTTCCGACTGCACGCGAAAGACCTGTATAAGCGCCTTGAGTGGGCCCAAAATTTCATCCAATGACATACGCCCGTCCATTGTAATTAGCGAGACACCGACCCACAGTCTACGCCACAGTCAATTCCTCGCGCGTGGTCCCACTTGAAGATAAATTGACCGTCGACTTCCAGCGAAAGTGCTTGGAAGTACAGCCTATGGTAACCAAAGTCCAACATTCCGAAGCGTAATCCGTCAAATTCTTCAGAAAAATAAAATAAAATACATGGATGGATGGATGTCTTCAAATGGGACCCACGTACAGTAACATTGTCACAGTCAATGTTTTAAAAAAATTATTTATAAGCTAACCTCATTGAACTATGTATTTCTTTTTCTTTTTTTACCAATAATACTTATTTTTAAAAAATAATTTAGCTTATTTTCAAAAATTTACTTTTAATCATATCCAAACATGGAAAAAAGTTAACAATTAGCATAATCTCCAACATGTAGAACCTAAATCCAAAGTCACAACAGAACTTTGAAGACAAAAAGTTATTTATCAAGTTTCACTTATGAGTAAACTTTTTACGCTTCACCAACCCTCTGCGTGCCGCCATTGAAGTCCACTTCTGCCTTCGGAACATGGTGATAATGTAACTTCACGGTTAGAACATGGTGAAGCTGCAAGAAGATATAAAAAGTAAAAAATGTAGCTGCTACATGAACACAGATATGCGGAATGGATCGGGTTAGTTAAATGCTAGACAACGAGTCGCACAAAATTTAGGAACTCTGGTTTCACGCGTACTGGGAATGAACCTATAATTTGCCGACAAGGACTAGCAAGAAAAGCACCACAATACACACCATATATCTAAAAGTCTGTAAAGATCAGTGAACTGTGGAAGTGTAACTGGTTTCATATTTGCAAGTTTGGATGTAATACACGCATGCGCGCGCATGTAGACATACCCAACTATGCCGCACCCCAAACTTTTCAACCACCTTTCGTTTTATGCTTTCTCAAGGTTAACCTGTGATGAAGAGTATGATTATGAGATGAGTAAAGAATACACGGAAGCTCTCCCAAAACATGCAAATATGAAACCAGATTCCACTTCAACCCACAAAAAGTAGGATGCATATGCCTATATTCCATTTGCTTCATTCCTTCAATTAATTGGCACCCATTTTAGTGCTTTTACAGGCTGCTGCAAAGCAGTTCAAAATAATCGTCTTGAACTAAAACTAAAAAGAAAAACACCAAGAGTACAATCAGCAAAGCATCAAGCTAGCAGGATCCACAACCCTCCTTGAATTGAATTATATGCCTAATCGCCACCTACATGTAGAAGAAACAACTGACAATTGAGGGGGGAAGATGTATTAGGACTGTCACAGATGTTCACTAATAATCCCAGGTACAATCAACTACTCAGAGAGAGAGGGGGTCTGAGGTGAAAGAAAATACCACCTCAAAGATCCCTGTTAGCAACTTCAAATTTTACCCAACTTCTCGAAATCGTAACAATTATCTACCAGCTCAAGTCCAGTGGGCGCTCAATTTAGGTTTACGGCAGAGTTTTACCACTGTCCAAATGAAGAGTGTCAGCCAGGTTATTGGACAGTTCATTTATTGAATCAGAAGAAGTGACAGCAGCTGCTGCATTTCCAGTTGACATGTATTGCTGTTTGACCTTCCTTTCCGGCAAGGATTTCTCTCGCTCATTATAGTAGGTAAAATCGTCAAGGAGGGATGTCTCAGCATTATGGTTCTTGAAAATTTTTAACATTTCAATTCCTTGTTCCAGTTTCACCTGAAATAGATGAATATCAACAGAATATAAGTTGGGCAGGTGCGACCATCAAATAAACCTTTCAAACATGTCAAGATGGGACCAATTAGGAGTTTGGCTAAGCATATTATTTTGTCAAATTGAAGATGGACGCAGACGACACAATTACCAATTACTAAAATATTGTAGTACAAGGCAGGGAAGAGAACAAAAAAGGAGGCAGAGAGAAGGAGGTGCAGGGGGCGGGGAGGAGAGAGAATTCTTAGATAGTACTCAATGTCAAAGCGTTAACCCTCCATTCATAGGGTATAAAAAACCTAATTTAAGTAGGAAACTAAAGAAATAAAACCTAATTTAAGTTAAACTAGAAAATTACAATTAACTAAACAAAAGTAACACCTGAAGATTTTTATGCCAAGTCTTCAAAATATATCCATATTGATCTCCATCACAAATTGTCCAACTTATAAGTGGCTAAAGATCATAATCAAAGGTGAACTAAGTTGCAACAAGGTGCAGAATTTTTATTTTTTCCTTTTTTCCAGATAAAGGTTTAGGATACTAATATTGACAAGGTATAAGGTATGTCTAAGAGGGGAGATAAGGTGAAGCACTCAGAAACGGGGAAAAAATTACTACCAAAGGGCCTGTTTTTGTAACTAAGAAACGCCACAAGGGCGAAGCAGAACAATAATGGGTTGACTGAGATAGGGAGAAACATAGTTGTTTGGGAAGAAAAGTGAAAGATGATCATTCAAACTACAATGGTAAAACACAGCAATTCAATAAACAAATAGTGTTCGCAGTGCGGTAAATGAAGGTCTCATATCAATTCCTACGAGTCCTAGGAAAACTAGTATAGTCTATTTAGTTGCGTTCGAGTCGCGGAAGAATTTGCATCATCTTCTTTTGGTAACTTATCCCTGTCTTGATCATCAGTTCTGACTATCGTCTACAAGAAGTGCCAACTTTTACACAGAATAGATGTGATTCAATTTCTAATCCTTTAAAAATGAAATTAAAATTATAAATGAAAACAGAATGAGTGACTTGAACCACAATGAAGTGTGACATGTAATGCCCACAAAGATGTATTCATGCAGGCACTGAGATACAATCAGCAATCATAAGATAATGCTAACGATATTAAGGAATTTGAACAGAAACCAATGTTTAAATTGAATTCACATCACTTTCAAAGAAGAAGATTTGTAGAAATAAAATATTCTGAAAGCACTGATACCTCTTGAGAATCTCGGCTGTGAGTAACAGGCTTGTTCTCATTATTTTCAAGAAGTATGTGGCAGAAGCTACGGTTCGGTACATCCTTAATGATATGCCATTTAACAGGAAATTGCCCATTCCATCTATCTTGCTGCCAGTACTTGGCATCATTGTCAAAATCAACAGGTCCAACCATCTCGGCTACCCCACAAAACTGTCCACTAGCATTAACCTGCAGAGTGTTACATCCACCAGATTTAACAAGAGTGAAATGAGCAAAAAAACAATAGCAAGAAGTAACTGTATGCAAGCTCCAATAGACAAATGCTTTAGTGCATACAAGATCAATGACTGAATTATATGTTTTACTAGTAAAAACAAATAAGTCTAATAGCTTGATAGTAGATAAAATGTGAGACCCACCACGAATTTCAAAAAAACTATACACTTCGAGAAATGGAGAGGTAGATCAAGCAAACAAAAGTATGGCATTTTACCCAAAACAAGATACAGGGGCGCAAATAATGGATCAAATGTGACAGAACTGGCCCGAAAGCAGTCAAGACCTAGATTTAGTACATGTAGAAGTACCAAAATGAAATAGAGAATTTTCCCAAAAAAAATAAAAAATGAAACAAAGATGAAGGGCAAATGCCAGCTGAGATCACTAGCTCAAAAGGTAGTATTTCTATAAATTATAAAATATACCCAGTAGAGATATAAGAAAGTCACAACTCACATTCATCAATGAGCTATAAATGTGGCAATCATGCAGACCAACTAGAAGTTAAAATCCCTGCTGGATTTATGCTTACTCAGCAGACATCTACAACTACAATTATTAGTGCGCAGCGTGCCATCACTAATTTCCCTTCAAGGTAATTTAATTGCAAGCAAGTGGAACTTCAACCACACACTTTGTCAGTAAGGAAATTCTGGAAACTTACTGAGAAAAAGAGGAACACTGGACAAATTCCATTGATTTCCTCTGCTCCACGATAGGCAGCATCAAGTTTTCTGTTTCCAAGTGATGTGCTGGCCCAAACACTGTATTTAATACTTCTGTGAATATTGTCTTCACTGAAAGACTTGATGACAAAAAATTTTGCATTTTTATAGTCTGTGGTAAAATCAGGGGCATTGAACTGACTAAAATCAAAACCAGAAGTAGATTCAACATCTTTATGAACGGACGTGCCCTCTCCAGGTAAAATTTTGTTCATTGCCTTTGAAAACCTTGGCCCTCGATTTCGATCACTTGAGATACCAAGTGTGTCGTGAGTAACACTGACAGCGTCTCTATCCTTTTCACGTCTTCCACCTTTACCAGTAGAGAACTGGTTCCGAGTAGGAGTCAACCCGCGCTGGTAAGAGCCAGCATGCGGATAATGTCTAGCCGAGGAGTTCGACGGCAATCCATAACCTTGAAATGATGTCTGCAATTGATACATTAGAAAGTAATTAAATATCAAGACCTGCATGTTTCAATGAATCTAATTGGATTAACTGGTTTCACACTCATTAGATAACCACTAGTCAACATATCCAAACAGCTATCATGACATTTTCACTGAAAATCAAAGAAACTTATTGAAGGAGGAGGACAAAGAGATATGTTCTTTTAATTTTACAAAATATTGTTTTACAAATCATGAAATAACTAAGCGTTTCCCATCTATATTAATCAATAAGCAAGAAATATCAATATTGACTAAGATTTCTGAAACTTTAGCGATAAAATTGCCAGAAAACAAACTGAAGAATCACATGCCAATCAGAGGGAAGCATGTGAAGTTATAGAAAGATAAAAGCAGAAAGCGTGCCAATTGACATTTATTAAATCATCCCTTGTGCCTTGATACAAAAAGGATCTTCTTTGGGCATCTAATCTACTCAAATTAACCTGAAAATTCTTTATTCCGGTATTCATGATAGCTGTAAGATACTATGATTCATCAAAATTTGATCAAAATTCATTTGGAGTAACTCAATGCAAGCAATACAACAGTTACTATGACAATTAAAATCCAATATAATTTCTTCCTCTGCGCATGTTGATGTGTCTATTTGTTGAATGTGCATATATATAACCCACCTGTGCAACATTTTGCTCGTATGAACCAAGTATGCCAGTTGATTGGGGATATACAGTCCCAGCTGCCAATGGAGACATGAACTTGCCTGAATCTAAGGGAACTGAATGGTTTGTCAGTGACTCACTAGATCCAAAGTCACCCGGAAACTTGTAGAGACCAACACCACTACTTCCAGAAATATCCCCTCCACCAAAAGCTCCAAAAGGCACGTAGAAACCAGATCCTGGCCCAAAAAGTGCATTGTCCATAGGGTTTTCATGACCACTAATTTCTGATGGCATCAGTTCAGACTGAGAAACGGGAAATGCTGAAGTAACATGTGGCAGACCAGGAGAAACTGAGGGTGGATAGTAAGGTGACGACACAGGCATATGATGTGGAGAGTACAACTGACCATCGAACATTATTGGAGATAGAGGGCTAGGAAGAGGAGAAAACTGCCCATATGCCATCTGGGAATCAAAGCCATAGCCAGTAGGAAAGAAGAGTGGTGGATTATCATTGTACATTGCCTAAATAAGGTTCAATACAATAGTCAGTGTATGTTGAGATCTATCTAGCAAATTCAAAATACATACAAGAAAAACAATTTATACCCACCGGAGGCATGACATGTAAGTTATTGACATAGTTAGAATGCTCATCCCAGTTACCAGTGCCATTGTCATAACCTGGACCAATGCAAAGGTAATATAAATTACACAACATAGGAAGCAGAAACAGAAATCATAGAGCAAAGCAACATGATTGTAATTGAAAAAAAAAAAAAAAAAGCATGACCCAATATCTAGTTTCATTCAAAATCTTTCTTGCTATGAGTTGATATAAAAGTAGAACTAGAGTATTGGAGCTCATTTGCCTTCATAGATACTTCAAAAATTCCAAAGATCACTCCCTAAGCATACATTAGCTACAACTCTCCCAGAATCATCTCTTAAAAAATCACAGAGGATACTTATTAGAAAGTTGAAACTGGCCACAATTAAATGGATGAAAGGTACGTAACATAAAAGGTCTATCATTTTAAAACTACAAGTTCACAATACATTTGCAAACTGTAATAACACACTACAATGTTCAGGCACATAATCATCTTTTACAATAATTCACAGATTAATCTTGAAGCTTTAAACTACCAGTGATAAGAAAATATAATTCACGTGGAAATCATATTTTATAACTTGCCTACTAGTCCTATAAATTAGTCCAGGTAAAAATCACAGCAGGAGAATAAAATGGTAATCACATAAGCAAAATGAGAATGATTCTCTGGTCACTGTTTGATGATGGGTGTGTTTTTGCATAAAGAATCCATATTGCCATTATAAATTAATGAGATTAGCAGAAAATTAGGAACAAACCTCCGTAATAAATGCCCTGGTCCTGCAGAGTATAAGCATTGAGAGGATACATAGTGCTAAGTGCCCCACTTATTCCTGAGGTTGAAGGCTGATCTTTAGTGCTTTCTGGAGCCCTAGCCATGGCTGTGTCCGCAGAAGGATTCACAGAAACAATCCTTTCATCTTTTGGCGAAAGTGGCTGACAGTATATTCAAAAAAATGTACCAATAAAACAGATTACTAATCTAACTGTGACGTATAGATTGAGGGAGAAAAACTCAAAAATGTAAGGATGAGTTTATTGCATACCTTATCTGTCAAGGTATGCAGATCAGCATCCCTGTCACCTGCGTCCACCAAAGCAATAAATAGCTTGTCAAAATGCAGAACAAGAAAAATCAAAAGAATGTTGAATATTATAAAAATAAATTGAGCAACCCGTAACCATGGTGTAGAACTTGGGAATACCCAAACTTTTCACTTTGTTTAGCTGGATGGGTTGGAGGGACGAGAAAGAGAAACTTAAGACGATTAAAAAATTCAACCTACATAATAACAGTTCCCCGATAAAATTAACACAGCATAAACAAATGCATGTAAATTAGGGCGTGGCAACAGGTTTTCTCGCCAAATCTGATGGTCAAAACCATGTTGAAGGAAGAATCATCAATGGAATAGTATAAAGGGGGAAACGAACCGAGGGTTTTCAAGTTGAAACTTAGCTCATTAAGCAATTCATAAGAAAAAATTATAATTTAAAAAATAAAATCTTAAAAGATTTTTTAGATTTAGGATATTGCATGAAATTGATCTAGAAAGAACTGTAGTTATCTGATGTTTTCTTCTTTTTTCCAACAGTAATCCCAGATAAATTAAAAGTCTACAACAATATCACAATAATTTCCAGCTATTGTCATAATCAAGTCCAAAAGTGCAAAATTTCTCCCACGAAAGAAAAATTGGAATATTTGACAAAATTACGCAAATTCAATTCAGAAACTGTGTCGCATGAAATCCCACAGAGAAGGCTCCTTTTGCATCTAATCTCAAAACCCAGATAGAAAACACGTAACTAAAAAATCCCAAATCCTAACTATACAATAAAGACATAATCTTCCAATCAGAATGCAACATTACTCGGTACAAAAATGAGGAAGTCCCAATCAATATAATTACGAGTATAAATACAGACGCATATCAAGATGTGAACGAACCAGGAGACGGGACGGAGGCGAATCCATCGAGGCTCTGTTGACTTGCGTCTTCCATTAACACCAATTGAATTGAGTTCAAATCCAATCACAAATCGAAAAGTAAAGCGAATAAAGATTCAGATCTATTCTATTTCAAATTGAATACGAAAAACTATATTCGAAATAAATCTAACGAATGCGAATGCAGTTTTTTGCAATATAAATATGAAAAAAAAAAACTAGTTTCTTTTCTAATCAGAAGTGAAATTGCAAGTAACCAAAAAGGCAAAAAAAAATTCCTTCGCGGGAGGGTTTGAAAATGAACAGACAAGAGAGGGTTTTAGAAAATGCTATATATGTGTATATATGCTACCCCTACGTCTACCAACCTGCACCTACCCCGTCTTTATGAGATGGAAAAGGAAAATGTCATATTAATGGAAAAATTCTGATGGATTATTTGACAGAACAGTGCGTGACATTTTGCGATTAATGGAAAATGTGATTGTGTTTTAAAGAGTCAAATCATTGTCTCATTGTAGCATGATTTGATAGAAAAAGTCGTACGTATGAAATCTTGACAAGTGTAATTCTATAAAAATTTCTGTCAAAACTATTATGTAAGTGTAGCATGATTCTTTTGATATTCACAAGTTAGATATCACAATACAATTATAAATAACACAGATAGACTCGGGAAAAAGAAAGTTACATAAAGTGATGCAAGTAATTTTAAAGATTTTACTACTTGTACATAATGGATTACATAATACGATGTGGGAGAAAATATTAGATGAAAAAATTGATTGCGTTTTAAACTGACAAATGATAGAGTATCATGTAATATTATGTAATCCATTATATAAATTTTGATATACATGTGGTAAGAGAGAAATGCTATTCATCTCCACTGAGGATACATCCCCAGTTTATGTGGCATTAAATGTTAGGTGAAATTAAATAAGTCATTTAATTTCACCTATCATTTAACCAATCATTTACATCCACATAAACTAGGAATGCATCGCCACTGGGGATGAATAGCATTTTTTGTGGTAAAATCCGAACTTTAAAAGGAAAAAAGAAGTGAAGCATATTGCATTTTTGACATCAACATTCTGAAATTGGGATTTTTTGTGTAATCGAGTACTTGGGACTAGGCGAGATGGGATGGGTATCCACTCCGTTTAAAGTTCATTTCAAGATATATGGTTGTAACTGCACAGAAAGAAGGGGATTACAAGCATTTCTAAAAGGAAAGTAGACTATTCTACAAATTGAAAAGATGATTATTTGCATCAACTAAATAAAATTAAAATAAAAAAAACAAAATATGTACAAAATGGGGTGATAACAGGGGCCTGTCCCACCCTACCTTAAGCAGGGATAGTGGCGGCCAAGAGAGAGAAACCTAAACGAGGAAGGGGGCATGTGAATGATAACTCCGATCTCGACTCATTTCATTGCCATTCTTAATCCTCGACATATCGCCTTGAACACGCCTTAGTTTTCAAATGGATAATAGAGAAATTAGAGTCTCAATTTCTACGTTATTGTTGCTGGCCTCAAGACGGTAAGTAAAACTACCACTCGTAGTTCTTGCATTATTGTGCTAGTGGACAAGATTTATGAATCCTTTATACCGTGACGAGTTGACTGGAAGAGGAGGAGGTGGTGGTTGGTGGGAGTAAGGACATGAAGTTGAAGATAAATTAGTGTCTTTCTTTTCTTTTTATCTGCTTTTCGCTTTCTTTAACTTCTATAAGAAGTCCATGTGCTCCTCTCATGTGCATTGAAGGGTATTTTGGGCAATCTTAATCTAACGCAACCGTGATTACATATAAAGTAAAGGTCAGAGATGTAAGTGCACCTTTTCCAAACTAAAAGTTATGAACTTGTTTGGTATACAAAATTTTTTCGGACGCTTATTGTGAAAAGTGATTTTTTTTTAGTATTATTGTTAAAAAGTAGTGAAAAATTGTGGATCCACATATAAAATTATTTTATTGAAAATTTGTGCAGTTGAAAATGAGTTTTAAATCATTTCTACCAAACAGGGGATGGAAGTTGAGATGAGACTAAAGTGCAATATGAACATTAGGTCGGGGCCTTCACTGCTATTTACCATTCTTAAATGAGTGAGTTTCAAAAATTTATGAAGTATGATAAGATAGATTTTGATGTTGATTTAATAACAATATAATGAGACCTATGTTTTGTATAAATTCTTCGAAAGTTATTTTTCTCTATTTTAATAATTAATTTTTCTAATAAAATAATTTTATGCATATATCCATAATTTTTACTTACTTTTTAACAATATATTTTCAAAATAATTTACTTTTTTTAGCAAAAATTATTCTCAACAATCAACATCTTACGTGCTCACATTGTTCAAAATGTCACAAAAATAGGAAAAACAAAATTTATTGCCCCGGCCACAATGGTAAACGAGGCGAAGATGAGGAACATGCATGGTCCTCACTCTGAATTTCTCGAACCCATCCTGAATCTTTTTTATTTTGTTTTATTTCTATGATTCTCAATTTAAACCTTATTTAAAATGAAAAAAAAAATAACATTAGAAGATAAATTAAAAATTAAAAAGGACGGAAAATGAGGATAACTTTATCCATGCTCTACCTCTCAAATATCCGTGACAGGGCAGGACGAGGATGGTCACCCTTGACCTGCCGGCTGCCCCCATCCTTGCACACAAAGGAGTCTTTATGTTGCAGCATACAAGGACTATTTGCTCACTTGGAAAACGTGCACGTTGGATGGCATCGAAATATGTCTAATTAGATATTGTATGGTTTCTAAATTCAAAAACAATCGGAACAATCTAAGAAAATCAGATATTGATCGACAGTTCAACAACATCAAGGGTGCGTCTGACATTGATTTTATCCAAATTAGTATCACATTTTTTACCCTTTTTTTCCAATTGTTGGCCCCCACACCTCTCACACGTGGTCAAATGTTGCGACTGTAGGTGTGCAACGGTTGAAATTTCAAAAAAAAAAACTGCCAATTAATTGCCTCCAGACATAGCTTAAGTGATTAGGTGGCAGATATGCGACAAATATGAATATGAATATAGTTGTAGAAGTTGCAAAGTGATAGTACTATCGAATAAAAATCTAGTAAAAGAACTTAGTCGCAAAAATTGTAATTTTTTGGAATAATAACAATTTCAGTTGCATTGCAATGAATCATTATATTGTCTAATTTTTGAACACATAATCTTTAAGGAGTAGCACTTTTTTCAATAGCTTTCTTTTATTGCACTTTGAAATTTGATAAAGCTGATAAAGTTATGTCCCAACATGTAGAAATAGTACATATCTCACTGCTTGTGTTAGATCCCATTTGGGATTGGCTAACATAAAAATTAACCAAGCTAAAGATGTTGTCTGTACTAGATTATATGGCCACAACATCAATTTCTCAATCCAAAATTATCTACTTCCAAAAGGTCCCAAAATTGTCTACTTCCAAAGGGTGTAAAAAATAATATGTTTGAGCTTGTTATGAATAACTTGATTACGTATGATATTGTTTGAAGCATAATATGACGGAGTAATGTATTTTATTTAGGTTGGGATTGAGACATTTCGTCTCCCTTTGTTATAGATCATTTCTTAAATATAAAAGTTTAATAATACACTGGACTCGATTGACATGTCGATCTCATCTCGCCATCAAGAGGAATTTTCTTTTTAAATCTAAGATACTTGCTTAAGTCTGCAGTAAGATGAGTTTAACATCATCGAGCAAAATACATTTCACGATATGCCTAAGAAGGAAATTTGAATCGAACTCATCCTTGATTGCTACCTTAGTCTGATAATCAAGCTTAAATGTACAAAGAATGTGATAGACCCAACCCTAAGCATCATAGAGCCCGAAGCAACTTCAATTTAAAGGTGTTAAAATGAATAATAAGTCTAGCCTGACAAAAATAATGCGTCAAGATCGCTCATTAAGCCCCCGTTATTTAATATTATAATTTTTGAAATATAATTTTTTTGAAGAATGAGTGATTAAAAAAGAAGGGAAAGTTTTTTATTTATATGTAATATTATTTTATTAAAAAATGTATGGTTGAAAAAAGAAAAGAAAAATATAATTTTAATAGACGTCAAACGGAGCTAAGTCCGACGAATTGAGCTGATGGACACGTTTCACATGCTGGACCATAGTCTGAATTTTCACAATGGGCAGACGACAAGAGGAAATTACACCAAATAATGTGTCTTCTTTTCCATTTTAAAAATGCAGGTTTTTAAGTTTTTTATTCAATTATCAGGTTTTTATAATTTTAATTAATATTGATTTTATAAAATTAAAATAACATATATACCCACCCC